CCCAGATCGTTTTAGCAGATTTGAAAGCCAGATTGATATCAGCGTCCGAAGACGCCTTCTAGGGAGTATTACATCTCATTTCTGAGTGGCCAGACGAGTTAGTAGTTCTTTTCCTTGTTAGTCAGGTTATCATTACGGAACGCGAAGTCGTTGGAAGTAGCGTTCCCGTTTCTCACGATTTTATGCTAACATTTGAATGTTTCGCTGATGTGTTCTATATGTTCTGATAGCCGAATTTCGTGCCTCTATAACGCTGCGTTTGCAGGTTATTTTTGAAAATCCGTTTGATGAACCTGTTTTTCAGGTGGATAATATGGAATGTCAGGTCGATAAGCACCAGCACTTCAGAGACTCCTCCTTTTTCGCATTCAACTGAGGGTATCCAGAGCTGCTGATGCTGCTCGGGAATTCGCTAAGAGCTTGTCCTAACAACTAATATTTCTCTAAAGCCTTACTCAAACCATGGCATTCAAATGAGCTGCTCTAGGAGCTTTGAAGCGTTCAGTGGACAGCGGTTGAGAGAGGAAGTCGGGAACTCCAAGTTCTCATCGACCTCACGGTTCCCGTAAAGCATAACCTGACTTAACAGGAAAGTAAACAGCTCCCGGAAAACTAATTTTTTTGTTATGTTTATAGAGCACAATTGGCTATCAGAACATATAGAAACACATTAGCCGAAAACATTCAAAATGTTTAGCATAAAATTCGTGGAAAACGGAACGCTACTTCTCAACGACTTTCGCGTTCCGTAATGATAACCTGAAACTTAACAGAAAACAAACACCTCTGAGAACAGACTTCTATAGCAGTGTTTATAGAGCACGAAATTTGCTATCAAACGCCATGCAAAACATATCAGCCGAAAACTTTCAAATATTAGCTATAAAATTTCAGGTGGAACAGACGCGAGCTGCCCAATATCGGCGAGGATGAAGGTCTGGTAACTTCAAAAAATTCTTGAAATTCGTTCCAAAGCGTCCTAGTGAGATTCCCTTGCTGGACTTCTAGCTCGGCCTTTTTTAAATGTATGGAGCAGCTTAAGCGATTTTAGCACTTCGACTATACGTAAATAGAGGCAGCTGTCGAAGGTGCTAATTTTCGCCGACTTCGCTTTCAACTTCAACGACTAAAAAATCCACAAAAGTTATTCCCTCAACCAAAGCCGTTATCATATTCTAAAACTACGTGAAGTTTCCTATCAGATGATATCAAACTTGCTGGCAAAACATTTCATCTTTGGAACGAAATTTCCGGTTGAAAAAAACGAAAGTACTTATGTGCCAACCCAATACTTTTCAAAGTAATGCCCTCAAATTTCAATCCTCGCACTTGTTAGACAGACTGCAACTTATGCTATGTCCAAGTTTTTCTACGAAAAATTATGTAATCTGTAATGACATGGTACAGAGGAAATATGTATTATGTTATGCGAATCTGATCATCCTCAGTTTTCCTCACCTGCTGGACATCGCCCGGCTTTAGAAGTGGTGCCATTATTAGACGAATGTCTGAGTCGAGCTCAAACTCACCCGAGCATACCAGATGAGCCAGTTTCCGTACGACCTCTTCCGCACTAAAGGCAAAATTTCAGAGAAGATGCAATGTGGTTCTTTATGAAAGAGGTTATGCGAATCTACAGAGTAGCATGAATGCACAGTTTTCCTGAGTTTTCACCTACAGTCTTGTTCGTTGCAGACGTCGAAGCATGTCAGGGACGGAGCTGTGTGTAGCACAGGGTTCACCAGGGCACATCATTGTTGGGGAATGCCTAACAGGGGAGGGGGGGCCCTATTTGCCTTCTAACAAAAATTGGCGGCATCGGGAAAAAATTTTCCCGGTTGTAGACATTTCGCGATTTTTTTTCCCATCTCACATGTACTATACCCCCCCCTTACCCTCCGTGCTAAACAACTCGATCGTATCAGAGAAGGGAACTAAGGGTGGAGGAGTGGGTGTCGTGCGGACTCGATCGAAATGCCCGACTAATAATGTGCCCTGGTTCCGCCAGTTACGGTCGCAACTTTCACCACATATTGTTAGCACGAGCTGGCTCACCCAATCTCCTTTGACGCACCCCATCATCCGTAGCGAACCAGACCGTAATTTCCTTCCTGAACCGATCTCAGGTGTTCTAACGAATGGACGGATATTCAGTTGCGAAAGCAACTATAATATTAAATAGCCTCTGGTCACCATACCGCTGGTCGCTGTGGTCACTCTTGGGACCTATATCGCGGAAGGCTTTGGGGCGATTATCCCGAGTCTGCTTCCGTAAACTGTCAAACGACTCTCTTAGTGAAAGTATGAAGGTATTCTACATGCGGCTGTTAGCGTTTCGACTACCGCAGCACGGGCCGCAAGGTTTTCCACTCGAAGCCAGTATGGTGCCCGTGACCAGGAGGACATCTGCCCTGAAGGGAAATGTCAAGCAAAATGACATATTGATTCAGCTGCGCAAAAATAGTGTTCAGTGGTGCGTGACCGGTAGTGGTGCTAGAGCCATCCCTTCACGATAAGTCGTCTTGGGATGAGATTTGTCATAGCTTATTAAAAACTGAAAAAGTTACAGGTACCGTTAGAGGGTGGGAAAAGGCTAGATGACATTCGACGCGAGAATGTAGCTGCTGACCGCAGAACGATCATGCATCCATTGAAATGTATCCCATGTACGCCTGCACTTCATTTAAATCACGTACAGTCAACAGAATTTGGGGAATATCAGTACGTAATCTGCACAAGCCAGCAGGACTCTACACTTGTTTACATAAAGAAGCTTTTAAATTAGCGACACGAGCACTGTAACACCAAATTTTCCTCGAGCATATAGGATCCTCACAATAAGGGTTGTTATGGATTCCTTGATCCACTATATTGTTAGCCAACAGGGGCGAGCACTGATGCTGCAAAAATGACAACGTCTTTCTAGCCATTTCCCTTCGAAAAAAGGAAAACTCGCCAAGAAACTGAAGCCTGTGACTTCCTACGCACATCACTACCGATAGAGCTATAATCCCCAAATCTTCAGTATTCCGTTTCAACATTCAAATGAGGGTCTTCGCATACGGTAGCTAGCATGCCAAGCCAAAGAGAAAAGTCTTTGACACTTTGGTCAGAAATTCGTTTGGCAAACTTTAGAGACAGATTTGAGGCCAGCATTAGAAAAGTGTCCATGTGTATGTACCATCCATACGGGCCTTTCGACCTGGCAAAACTTCCCTGGTCACTACAGGAATGCTGAGTTATGAGCAAAGTCTGAACCCTAGACGAGGGACCAACCCGCACCTTATGCTTTAACGCGAGTGCACTAATCCGTTACGCCACCACAGCCGGTCTTACCCTCTCACTAGGAAACGTCTTCAGGTCAGCCTGGCCATTTCCAGCGAGGTGCACACGTTTACACCGTTGTGCGCGTCTTGAGACGGTGAACTCAAACCTGTCTTCACAATTTGCGGAACGTGTCTCGTGAGCGGGAGTTAGGGGGGGGGGGGAGTTCATCCCGCATAGTTGTTTTACATGCTATCGCGAGCAAACGTGGAAGCGTCTTTACATAAATGTATGGAGTCCTTCTGAAACGTGGTAGCAGAGCGCAACGGATAACGAGTGGGTTTCCTAGGCGAGACTTCATGGGATCAGGTCCCGGCAGGTAGCATATTTTTGCGTTTGTCCAAGAATATGGCCGACGAGACTTCTAACATCTTGCTGCTCCATCCTCTAAGGGGACCTGCGATCAGTTTCTGTTTGAAAGTGTAGACCCATAATGGCTGAAAGAGTGCTCGGGCTCGTCCCCCCTCGTAACATGTTACAACGGTTTTTGCAACGAAATACCATGATATCCATGTTCAGCTGGTCAATTTGCCTCTGGGGACAAGCTCCTAGCCAAATCTGACGTTTCGACCTAATTGGAAAATGTGGGCCATTCTATGGGCAATTAGCACCAGGCAGGGGCCACCATACCACCCAGCATGGATGACTGGTCTTGGGATGGAGTTTCCTAACGGTAATCAGGAAAATGATGCAGACGGCATGAATGAATGAGCCAGGTATTGTTCTTTGTGAGAAGGCAAGAGTTATCAGCCCGAAGACTAGTCATCTCTACTAGGCTAGTCGTAGTATTGCTGTTGGCCATCAGTCAGCCATGACTATCCACACCACATTTTTTCGGAGTTGACTCAGAATCTCAGATCTTGCTAAGGGCCGTCTCAAGGGTTATTTGACCCCTGAACACGAACATGATACCAGTTTTGCGCGAAAATTGCTGTGACTCGCGCTACAGGTGCCAACGGTTTCGCGCCAGCGCGCCTGGAAGAAGAAAAACAGTAAAGAAACCTCTATAACTCCGCTCAGAGAATCGTTCCGAAAATAGTTTTGAGTTGTCTCAAGACGAGTACAATGATGTGCACCTCATTGCATATGGCCAGATGACCTGTTGACCTTTCCTGGTCAGCTCAACGGCTTTTATGTTGTAATCTGTCAGCATTCACACGTTTAACATGGTGAGCCGGTCAGCCGTAAACGTTAGATATCGGCAATAAACCGAGAGGCCGAAGGCTTCACAAATTTTGTAGTCTTTATATTATGATAACTTTGTTTTATTACTATTATTACTGTTTTCGAAGTGGAGTTCGCACTTCGAAAGTATTTCTCCCCACAACTCAGCATTTTTGTGGTAACTTTTGAAGCGCGAACTGCGGCGTAAAATAGCAGTTATCATAACAAAGACTTCCCTAGTCAACTTCGAAGCCCCCGCGAAGTTTAAGATGTTGATTATCGGGCGAGTACGAGCCACGTGTTGGCACTGGCTCAGCTTTTTTCAGAGAGTGAAATACTTCTCGAGGGAGCGCAGGCAACACGCCCTTCCTCGGAATTACAAAGTTAAAAATCTACTGACAATTAGTAGTAGCATATACTGTTTGGTTCAAATTCCTGCAGAGGAATATGTCGTACATTGAAAAAAAAAACTGGGAGGGCACCTCAAGCAAACAAAACAAACTTAATCGAACTCACTCTGACCCTATGCCCACAACGGCTATCCTTATACTTCCACTTCCTCGTATGATTATCGGCTGAGCGATGTCTTTATCGTGACAAGTGACCAACTTGAAATCATGGCGGATCAGTTCATTTCCAACTGTCACCTCGAACATCTCCGATTCCAGCTTCAACCGTCAACTAAAAGACCGACTCAACAATTTCAAACCTTCACGAATTAGTTAATTGTGCTGACCTGAGCCGCGGGGAAGCGGCGTTCCCTTAAGCAGAACTTAGGCTTAGAGCACAGGTGGTCCGTGTCGCCGCGGATTACTTCTGCGGGGCGGGAGGGGGGGGGGATAGTCCCCACGCTCGGCACGTTTGCGCTCCAACGTAGGCTTTGCTTAGATGAAGAGTCCCGGAGACCAACTCAGCAACGTAGGCACAAAGAGCGCTGTCCGGACGGGGGAGGGGAGCGGGGAGATTTTGCTAGCTCCTGTTTACGCGAAGACCTGTAAGCTTTTGTGAAACCATTTAGTGACATCTAGTGAGCTTGTACAAGACACGGCCTACGGGTGTCATCAAAGCGACTTCGCAGCTTCACGACAGCCTAAAGAAACACCGACAAAAAACTAGCGGAGGTGAAAAATGACACCTTCCCCCTGCCCTCTTTACCGAATTTCAAGAAGATATGGCAATATGAGACACATGTGAAAATAGAAGATAGAAACCAGAAGTAACGTACAAGATGTTTCCCAGGAGGGAGCATCCTCCAGTACTCTCCAGCTTTTGTCGCACGTATGGTTTTACCTGAATTAGTAGACTTCCAGCACCAACAGACGCGAATCGAGTTTCTTTTCATGCTTTCCAGTATTTTTGGTTCTAACATTATGGACAGTCTCCGCGACTGCATTTAAGGCAGTGGGACCGAAATGCGATTTTGTAAGCAGGGTACACCATCGTGATGTGTGAAATGGCGATTTCAGCACGACCCCCCCCCCTGCCTCCTGAGAAGGATCCTGGTACGACCTCCCCCCTTTCCAGGTGTTTGCTCTGACGAGATGGTTTAGGTACGTCGCAAGCGCGTTGTGACTCCATGGGAAATTAGCGGTGGAGCAGATCTGTTGGCTAGGTGGAAATCGCTAGGCTTTTTCTGAGGCAGGGTACAGCATCGCGATGTGTGAAATGGCGGTGTCAGTAGCCCCCCCCCGGAAAAAAATTCCGGTAGGACCCATGCCCCCTTCCGGCTCTAACTGTTTGCTTTGACGAGAAAATACGATATTAGAAACCTAACGACTCGCAAGCGCTTGCAGCCGCGCTATGATTCCATGACGAATTAGCGGTGAAGGGGCTCTCGCTGGGGTGACAGCTTCAGGTGTAGGCTTTTGAGAAACGGGAAGACGGAATAGCCCAGCCTCGCTGACAGACCCCACCATCCGAAGGGAACAAGACTTTGTGTGAGGCTGCGGCCTAGACTTCTTATATGAGAAAGAATACAAATCGAGTGACTGGATTTTACGACCTGGGTAAATGGAGAGCATGCCCTCAAAATGGTTTGTAGTGTTTGTTACAGAAAAAACTTACTGTATTGTACCAACCTCAAAGGTACAATTTCTCAGATCATGTTTTTCATTGGAAATTTCTAAGAAAGCAAAATATTCAGTGTGCTCACCTTCCTCAACAGCTACAGTGGCATTAACAGCTGGGTTTCCATTTGAATCTGTTATCAAGCCATAAACACCTTTCTGAGCCATTTCCAGTAACGATATCATGGAAAACCTATTCTCATCCCAAAATCTGAAATCGGAATAAAAACGCTGTCAAAAACCAGACATCGTGGAGCTTTTCTTTTTCAGCAAAAAAAACGTCGCTAGTTTCAATCCAGCCACAGGAGCATCGTGCAAGTCAAATCTAGGATCCGTTCGGGACAACCTAGTCTTCTACCTCTCAAAATTAGCCAATTGGTTTCAAGTTCCCAGGCTTGCCTGAGAGAATAAGCTTCATTGGTACATTTTCTGATCCCGGCAAGTATAGCCCAATCGTAAGTGGTACTACAAGTCCGTATGGGAATAGGATGCGCGGCATCCCTCCCCCCCCCCCCAAATAGGAATCGACCAACGTCAAAGTGCTCAACCCCCGTAGATGGAATACGGATATATCAAAGAAAACTAACTTAGGTAACATGTCGTTTGTAGGAAACTTGTAACAACCCATTTCAATCGTGACTTCGAACGAGTTCGTATGCGTGTACTGCCAATCCTGCATACCACCGGCCAAATGGTACCTAAGTGAGTTATCTACATGCACTCATTCAAAGCCAATTGAGTGCACTTATTCAGATACCAGTCAGCTCCATTTGTGATCCCATTCAAAAACACATCTCCATCAGCAGATAGACCACAACGTCGCCCTGTTTTCCACATGCGTGGATGGGCCCGAGCATATCGGAAGGCTATTTCGACGAAGAGCCTATCGTCAGGAGTCTGAACAGTACGGCAATAGGAAAAGACTTGAATTCACAGAATGCCAATGCAAAAAAATTTGTGTTACACTGGTAGGGGAAAGAGATTTTTTCAAGGCAATTCAGGTGATAAAAGTAACCAAAGAAGAAAGAAAGACGAACATACAACAGAGTTCACATTTAGGTTCGTTTTTTATGGGTTTCCAAAAGGGACCTAGATAAGCCAAAATGAAAATGGTGCAAAATTGGAACTGGTGAAACATATTATCTGAACACATAGCGGAAGCAGAACTTGTCATAAAACAGACCGCTGAATAGATGTGATCCTGACCAGTTACCGAATCGTCAAAAGGATAGTTGGCCACAAGTGATCCTGAAAAATAATCTCAATTTGAAGGAAGTAAAGCTAAAACAACTGGAGTTCAATATATAAGTAGGGACGTAATTCCAAATATGTAAAACTCCCCAAATCCTCAATGACTAAAATAGTGTAATCGCTTCTTGAAATCAGTGAATTACCATTATCTTTTCCTGGATGGGAATGCTGAATTTGCTGAAAGTAGCGGTCATAATGGCCAGGCGCGGGCGGTCTCTCCCAACTTCATTTGTGGAGGGGAGGAGTGGGTGTTTCAAATGCCTTACCGCAGTTATTTGATCAATGAAAAAAGCAGCAACCGCCTTCCCCCTGCTATCATGCCTCCTGTCTCTGAAGGCATAGGGCACGGTAATTTGGTAACTGCTCTACAAAAGTAGCAGGATGCTACTGTAGAGCAAAGTGGGGAAAATGAGGCAAAGCAAAGTTGCGCAAAAATTTGACTGAAGTTCCAATTTTTCTTGAGTTCCAACCTCCGTGCAAGTTAGCGCTGACCACAAATGGATGTTCTTCCAACCACTTCATAACTGCTGCCGTTTCTGGTTCCGGATCACCACCACCGGACTGCTCACGATGTGATGGGAATCTTGCCGGAAAGTTGCGATTCAGGTCGACGTTGTGCTCGTTACTTCGTCCCTGCAATTGGGAGAACAATCATAAGCATCAGAACACACATTGCAACACTTCCAACGTATAGAGCCCTTTGTAATGATAGCATCTCCATACTAGACATTTGCTGGACCATGGTTTCATGAGCACACAAGCATACCTAACAAAACAACAACAAGAAAAGCGAGAGGGGAGGGACACATCAGTTCTCTACGAGCACCAAACGAGCACCCTTTACTACCCACTTTCTAATATTGTGTCAGGACTTCAATCTGTCCAGATCTGTGTCCCTAAAGAGGTGTTTGACCCCCTTAACATGAATATCACATCTGCTCGGCATGACAACGCCTGGCACCTGCGCCAAAATACCTTAGGTTACTAAAATTCTTGGGATTACACAGTGCTTCGTCCCCTTAACGAGAATATGAGACGAACCTGCCTTTAAAGTTTGGCGGAGGGCCGTCGTCACAAAATGCTTTTGACAACGGCGAATGCAGCGGGAGCTAAGGCAGCTGGACTAGATAGAGAATTTCTAGACGGTTGTGATACCACAGAAAAAGGGTGGGGGTACTTTCCCCGCCACAGTAGTAACGTATAGTAACGTACTCCCTTATGGTTGAGCCTAAGCAAAAAGAAGGGATCCCTATCTCGGAGGGAGGATGTGAAGGGGCGTGTGAAGGGCACTGCTCGTCCTGCCCCAGCATTTCCACATCTAGTATCAAGCAAATGTGATAATCACGTTCAGCGGAACTAGGTACCCTGAGAATAGTTTCCAACATGTTCGAAACTATACTAGCAGATATGTGTTCTCATAGTCACCGCCGCGGAAGCCACGCAGTTTTTTTTTTACAGATGGAGTGATTTCGGGGCTGCGGGGGGGGGATACATCTTTCGAGAATAAACCCTAAGCCACACCTACCCTTGAGAAGTCGGATAAAAAGCAGGGCCATTCGAGTAGGGGAGCAGTGAAGGGTAATAGCCAAGTGCTTTCGAGCGCGGTTGGGTAGCAGCTGCTCAGAGTTCGGTCATACTCAAAACAGGCACTCATTACCCATAAACACCATGAAGGCATGAAGAGGCATGTAGCACGGCCCAGAAAATAACATACCGCTGTTTCACGGCCGCGCCCTCTTCAGCCTTTCTGAAGTTTGTGATCCTTCCCCAAGGATACTGTATCTATTGATAAAACAGAGTGGCTATAAAAAGCTTCTCACATAGATATCCGACACGATCTCCTGGTAGTCCATGCTCGTAGCCGTCCGGATGTCATTTGAGGCATCAGATGGATTCGCTGACTGTTCACCAGGTTCGTTAAATAGTCATTTTTTCCGTAATTTGTACAAAGAATTTCGATCAAATATAGCACAGCTTCCGTCCCACCACCTAAATAGAGGATATCCAGTCCCAGGCTAGGTGAAAGGAACACAATCAAATCATGAACCTCGTTACCTCGTTGCCGTGCATATTGGCCACAATCTTCACTTCGGGTTCGAGTATTTCGTGCTCTTTCGGATTGTCCGAAATAACAAGAACCCAGAGTTCACGACCCTGGACGCTTTTTTCCCACTGAGTACAAGTATGTTATGTTAGGATAGTTAAGTGCTGCTGCCTGAAAATAATGTCAAAAGCGCTTTATTTGAGTTTTAGTACATATGATTCCGTAATATCGAAGAAAAAAATGAGAAGAACATCCGAGATGGTGCCTATTCGAATGTCCTACCTTCAGCCATGCAGTCATTTGAATGTAGTTATGATTGACCATTTTGAATGATCAACATCTACGAACGTGCCAATTCTGGAAAAGGCAAATGTACTCGTATCAAATGCACGTTTGATGATTAAAGTGTTTTTGCGGAGTCTTCCTACTCCGAAGTTTGTACCGTAGACTCGCTTTTATAGTACATCTGCCCATATACAAAATACTGCGAAAACGAAATAAAAGAAAAAAAAGGATTAAGAAAAATTCATATTCATACATATCATACCAGTTAAAAGTACCCAGCCAAAAAAGGGAAAGCTCACTAGCAAAAGAACAGCTTCCGTCGGAAACCACGCCGCACCGTCGCAGAAATCGAGATGCGTCATTCTGTGAAACAGCCTTAGAGGCAGTTGTCACGATAAATCCGACAGACGAGTAGGATTAATACGCCTGGCAGGACGGAATTCCGCGACCCTATACAGGCGCTGGCGCAAAGAAGGTGCCCTTATAAGAACCCTATCAAGCCACAGCATTCCGATCCAAACCCCCGCCACGGCCGCCCGCCCCCGAATAGGCGACCGTTCCTGACGCTCTGATCGATTCATTTGCTAAGCAAATCATGAAGCGAAGGGATTGGCCGTGACGCTGCATGGATACACTCTACTTCGCTGCAGACGGTTGGGCGTATCAGGCAGTATGAGTATGCAACCCCATCAAAGCTGTTCTCTTTCCTCTTGTTGAAGCACGCGTGTGGTAGAAAACGAGTAATACGAAGGATATGATACAGTATTGTCACTTGCCCCCTTCAACAACTGGTGAAAACGAGTTTGGCACCGCGCCAAACGCTGCCGCACTGACACGCCCAACCGTCCGCAACAAACTACACTATATATAAGTGCACATATGCAGCCGTACCTTTGGTAGCGGTTATTGGCACTACGATTATGGGGAACTCGTCCAAAATTGATTGTGAACACATTGAAAACGGAGGCTATTTCTTCGCAGGATTTTGAGCATTTCACTCCGTTCTTTCACCATTTCCCCAATACGTAGCGCCCTACTAGCATTTTAGGCCGAGTGGGAAACCATCGTGCCAACTGCCTTTAAGGGTTTGCAATAAAAACACTCCGGTCATGAAGAGTGCATGGAGAGTGCCACGAGAACTTTTCGAAGTAAACCCTGCCGATGCACTCCTCCACGAACAAACTGCCCCTCTTCAACCCCTCTCCCCTCGTCTTCCCCTGTATTGCCGTTTGATGAAAGGGCGTGGAAAGTTTATGTAGCTCACCTGGGAAAAACAAGAAGCAGATGAGAAAATGAAGGTTTTACATGCAACCTCTCGAAACTATGATAGCTTCTAACGCAGTAATTGACTGAGAGTATCATGAATTTTTTGGGCGGTAGTGGAGATCGGCAAAAGCGCTGCTTACCATAAGCAAAGCCCGTGACTCAAGTCTTGCACAGACCCGTCCGGACCAACCAAGCCTTCCCACTAGGGTACAGCATCATGATGTGTGAAATATCGGTGTCAGTACAACCCCCCCCCCCACTCTAAATCAGGGTTTCGGTACGACCCCCCCCCCCCTCACCTTCCCCCAACACCCATCTACCAATTTCCCCTCACATTTTCCAGTTTTCATCCAAAAATTTTCCCTCCCGTCGAGCGGGGGAGCAGAGCGGGAAAGAGAGGGGGGGGGGGTACATACTATACATGAAAGAGGAAAAACCACGAAAAGTCACAACCAGTAAAATGTTTCCCAACGCAGCAAATTCCTCTCAAAAGCCCCATGCGACCCTCCTCCCTCTTCCAACAGCAACAAGTACGACCCTCTCCCCAGCGAGAAGTACGACCCCCTCCCAGTGTATTTCACACAACGATGCATACCCTGTCCACCACTCTGGATTGCTAACAGACGAGTCTGAGAGTATTCGCCTTAGCATGAGTTATTCTCCTGATCGTGCGAGCAGTGCGATGCCATTAGTTTCATTACCGAAAAAGTCAAGCTTCAGAAAGAAATTTGATGTTTTTGCGAGTAAGATGTTTTTTTCAGAAGCGTAAAACTTATAGCACCGCCATCAAAAATGCTCTCGAGATATGAAAGTTCTTAGACAGTGCGTTGTTCCTCCCCCTCCGCATCCCCCCCCTCACCCCGCCCCTCCTCTCTCTCTTTCCATTCCTATACCCAGCGGCCTCAGAAGGGTCATACAATGCAAAAGAGTTCACAGATAGCTGATGAGGACAGGTTTGCGTTTTTTTGACCTATGCACCTCGCAATACACTTCCTTTACTAAGTCTCAACCAATGCACCATTTGTTTTCAGGAAGTTATAAAATCGAGCGAAACCACAATTTACTACGGTTGTAACTTTCCTGTCATAACATTACCCGTTTTGCGACATGTGCAGTAACGTTCGCTGCGGATGCTGAACGCGTCAGGAGGGGGGGGAGGGGGCGTTTGGCGCGACGCCAGCCCATTCTCTACCTATTGTTCAAAGGCACAAGGTACGATCACTTGGTGCTCGGTCTAGCAGGAGTACTATATGGAGGGAAAATCCTACGAAAAATGGCCTTGTCCTACATGACTCAAAAAACCAATCTCGGACGAGTTTCCAGCTAGTGCTGTGCCAAAAACCACTGCGGTAGATACGGCTGCATGTATGTATCCACACATATCCATGCAGCACCGCAGCAGCTTCATATCAATCCCTTCGCTTCACAATGTACTTCGCAAATGAAACGTTACGGACATCAGCATCGGTCGCACTTTGTAGGCGGACGAGCGCGGTCGGTATGTTGCAGCCTGATAGAGCGCTATAAGGGTACCTCTACTGGAAAAGGCGCCACGCAGCGCTGTGCAGGGACACCTAATTCTTCTGCTAAGCTTATTAGTCCTACACGTCTTAGGGATTTATTGGGCCACTTGCCTTCAAGTGGCCAAACGACAACAGCTAGTGGAGAAGGGCTGGCGTCGCGCCAGCCTCTGACACCCCCCCCCCTTCCCCGTATTTGCAAAGAGCAAGAATGTAACACCTTTGCAAAACGCTATGCGCTTTATACTTCAGAAGATAGGGTAAGCAAAACAAAAACATTAAAATCAAAACCTTACTTTTTCTTCATGACTTCGTACGAAGGGAAAATGGTGAGATTTTCCTTGTCGGCCCCAAAATACGTGCTGAGGGCGTCTCTCTAAACAGTTCGTCAATACAAAGCGAAACGGAGAAAAACAACAAAAGTTTTTGAAAAAAAACGTACCTCTGCATACTCGGACTCCTGGTTACTGGCTACAATGTCGCTGTCCCAATTAATAAGCAGGCAAGTCGACAATCTACTCAAGTTTAGCACTAAGCCAGCCAACAACAGGAGTCCAGCCCTCCGCATTCACGGCGGCTTCCTTGAACTAACAAATATCGGTATAATTGTCAGGTATGGACAGCTCAATGAAGAATCGTGTAAGCAGACAAAATCTTCGCACAGTCCGATAAAGAAGAGATATAGGTGAGTAATAAAAGTGCGACAAAAATGTTTATAACAGTAGAAAGAAGAAAATTGTTCGCGGCATGATAGCCAGAGATATGGAACAAAAGCGGAAAGTAACGGAAAAAAGCGTTCATAAAGATGGAGTTCTCTCACAGCATGGTTTAGGCTGCTGAAAAACTTCTTGGTCTGGAAAACTGAATACAAACCTACAGGGAAATTACGCAACACCGCAAGTTGTGGATGTTGGATACCAAACATGAGATGTTAGGCGCCATTTAACGTGACAACAAAAAAATATGCAGAATAACTTCTGATAAATCCTACAAATGAAACCCGGGTGATTTTCAGCATCGGATGAGCACGTGGTAAAGAAACGTGCACATACGCTGAGGGCGATCAGAGAAGTCAGGCTGCGTTCATACTTCGCGGGAGCGTCCACCAGCGTCCACCAGCGAATATCAGCGGCCACCGACGACCCGCAGCGTCTCGAGGGCTAGGGAACTATGGGTATCAATCTAGCGACCAGCAGTATATACCGGCGTCTATCAGCGTCCAGAAGTAGAGCATTGAGCGATGGGAGGGTCGCAGACAGCTGCTAGAGAGTATGGCGCGGCAGCAGACAGCTGGTAGAGTATGGGGATATAAGAGGGTAGCAGACTGCTGGTACGGAGTATGAAGCGACAGGAGGGTACCAGTTGTCTGCTACGCTCTTATCGCCCCATATCCTCACTCCTGGACGCTGCTGGGCGCTGGTGGACGCTGCCGCAAAGTATGAACGCAGCCTCAGCCAGGTGCGTGTGAGAGAGATCAGATAAAACAAAGAGATCAAGCCAGATTTGTTGAAAAAAGCCTTCAGATGCCTTTTTCTCAGTTCTAGGATGTGCTGCGTGGCGGATTCCTACGATAAATGAACGCCACGTAATTCATTGCTCAGCGTCAAACATGAGACTCGGCAATACCCTATCGATCAGGAAATCAATACCCTATCAAGAAAAGGTGTACTATATCAAAAGGAGAAGTATTCGAACTCTACTCATTTGGCAAACGCGCAAGAAAAAACATTTTGGCTTCGAGGGGAACTTTGTTGGTTCTCATCAATCATGCCGATACCTCCAGCCGAGGCACGTAAAGCGCTGTAAAGCTATGCAATAGCACGAGTTTTGTTCACAGTCAGCAAGAGTCTACAAGTCTCACTAAGGTGAGACGTGTAATTCAACAGTAGCAAACGAAACTAGCGAAAGTGCAAAACGTCGAAGTCCAAAAGCACCGTAGCAGATACACACACCCTAGTTAACTCAGCCCACAAAGCAATGGAGAAAATTAACGAAAAGAAACCCAAAATGATATTCAACGTCTTCTTCCTTATAGCAGAGGGATGATTGTCGCGGGGAAATGCTAAACATAGTTGGCAGTATCAGATTCGAAAAGTACAAGCTCATCTTTCTTGGCTAAAGTTATACCAACGTTTGATGTTCGGTGAAGCTTGTGTAGCGAGCTCAAAGTTGGACTTTTGATTCTCCGAACTGGACATAGAATTTTCGGCTGATCGCCCAGCATTTAACCCTAGTTCTTCCGACAATCTGTTTGCGTCTTCATCACATTATGCTATTAAACTTGGCCGCAAAGTTGGCGCAAGTAGGGTTGGGATCGGCCTGCAAGCGATGGAAGAAGCTTTCATCCTGGTAAATAGGTGTCAAGATGAAGAACTGGAACTCGCAACGTCGACTATAATCTCAGTGCTGTCAGTACGATCAAGAACCAATGACACCGTGCGTTCCGGAACCTTCAACTACTCAGAAAAGACGCAGAATTCAAGTCCACTTTTTCATACTCATGGCAGCTTTGTTCGCCCCCTTGGGGCGGGCGGGGCGGGGGGGGGCGGGGGAGCGGGGCGGGGGGGGCTTTTGCGGTTCTAACCGTCTTCTGTGAAAAAAAAACACCAAGTTCTGGCACTCAAGAAAAAAAATGTCGCGGAACTATTAAATCAAGGATTATGAACAGTACGGTAATCAGAGACAGAGAGAGACGAAATTAATCGCAAAAACATCTTTGTCATAAGAAAGACGGAGCTCGAGGCGTTGATATCCTTTGTGAGATGCGCCACAGCCTATTCCCATTGAGGATCTTGAGCGTATTTCGAATCCCATTTGTCCTTACACAAGAACTGCGAGATCGGTCAATATTCCAGTGTTCTTTTCCCATCACACAAATGTCGCACCAACTAAGAGACGTGGAAAGGTGGAAAAATGGGCAATTTCAGGTCGAAGCTAATCTGAGACTTGACTTTCAGACTGCACGTGTGGAATGCCGTGTCGCTGACCACTGCAGCACTTCAGCCCCTCTGAAATACTCGGCCATTAGTTCTGAGCGCTACGAAAGTTTCACAATGATAGAATTTCAAGATTGCCCACTCACAGTGATGACATTTGGAAAAACCAGAGAGCAAGGTTTTCTCGCTGTCCAGGGAAAAATTAAAGACGATCACGCTCTTTGTTCCTCTCCATTGAAATGAAGGTGTTTTAAGAATCGCTTATACAATCACTTCAGGTCAGATCGATGGAAAATGGACTGTTTTTCATCGCCGAACGTGTGAGAGAGAGACTTATATATGTTGAGCACACATCTGTTGCACGATATCGGAAAATTGCTAAAGATGATAGAACGTACCCGAAATTAGTGCAGATCGCGGTACCATTTACATCAGGGCACGTGCTATAACAGTGGGGATTCAGCGGAGGAGCAGGGTGGAGCGGACGGCCGTATGTGCTCTGAGAAGAACCCCACTCCCTCTCGACGGCAAATCCCGGGAAAAAGTGGAAAATTTCTGGGAAACTGCGATAAAAAATAATGGAAAGCTTGTGCCTGGAAAAGTTGGCAAGACTACAATGGCAAAAGGCAGATCGTAGCAGAGGAGGAATTTGGGGGGGGGGGGGGTCGTGTTTTCGGAAAACTTGTCCCAGCGGAAGGATCTGCATTGATTAACATGGACAGCACCTTCGCTACCGAACTACTATGAAAGTCGCTTCGCATACTTGTTTCAAGAAGTTTAGATTCAAGATGCCCACGAGATGAATAATTCAGTATAGCAATTCGCTACCAAGGTCTAAATTCAAAACAGATTCTCCCAATAAGGCCCAACCCAGATGTAGAAGTCTTCCGTGTCAGCTGTGAAACAATATGAGACTGCTTGAGAGTAATGACGGATGGATGCACCTTCATTTTTGTATCGCTTCATCATCAAGAGGAGAAAAATGGTGGTTTAGCTGGAAGGAATGATGGCTCAGCTGGCTGCCCTAACCAATTGATTACTGCATGTGTAATCTGTAGCATCAGCAGCTTTTATCTGGTGCGTAGCAATCTCCCAGGTCTGGCAGTTGGAATCTTACCAATTATCGTTTCTAGTGTTACAATAGACGAAATCAATGGAGGTCGATTTATTAGCGCTCTCTGTGGGGACCTTAAAGTTAAAGTTCTAATGGTACATAGATCAACGTAAAAGGACACTAAGAAAATTGTACTTGCAATGGATTGAAGAGTTCTTCAAGGGTGGAACAAAGTTTCCAACTCTGATAAAAAAATCAGTGCGAATACCAATTTATCATAAAAAAAACTCATGTGCCTTGTAAGTCTTTGTTTATTTCGCCACTTGCTTCTTGTGCGACACTACATCTTAGAGCGCGTTCAGACTTCGCGATCGCGCGATCGGATCGCTTGGATCGCGCGATCCGATCGCGCTACTGAGGGTGAAATTACTGCGGGAGGGGGTCATGTTCGTTCATGTTCAACTCAACTCAACAAACAACAACAACAACAACAAAGTTCTGGAAGGAGCGTCCTAAAATCACCTATTTCTACACATCAGAATGCTGTATCTTGCCTCCAATAGGCAGTTCCAAAAACGATATAAAAGTAAGTTCGACCTTTTTGATGTCTTTTATTCCGTGTTCATATTCGCAATACTGACGTTTGCAGAAAGCCGTTGAAAGGAAAGGTTGTGTATAGACCTGGAAAATGGCTAAAAGTTCTGCATGTCTTACTTTTGGAACAAGATGTTCAACACTCGCCGCTTGAAACGTACTCAAATGCAAAATCAGTATAATAATTAGCAAGTTTTTTTATTATTAGTACTATTTTACATAGGAAATAATAAATAACTCAAAGATATTTTGAAACGTTCTTCAAAATTAGGAGGGCGTTATGTACACAAAGAAGAAAGAAGAAAAGAGAGAGAGAGAGAGATAGAGCAGGATCAATAAAACATATACGCACATAACCCCCTCGCGGAATCGCGAAGTTCTGAACGCGCTCTTACTAATACTAAGCTTGTACCATAGGTAGGGAGACCTATGTCGGTATGATTGCCATTCACCGCCATTAGGCTATACTTAGTCAGTCAGAGATGCTAGTTGCGAATGAACAAGTCAGTGTTGCGGGGGGGGGGGGTCCGGAAACTGAATTGATAGGAATAGGGAATACATAACATTCGAATATTCATTTCCGATCCAATCTAAGAGTGACGTTTGCTCTAGCATCATCTGGCATTGAAGTTAATTTAATCGAGTTAGTGAGGAGTTACCAAGTCAGTGGACCCCTGTTACTGGTAAAGAGCTGCCTTTTCACCAAATTTTTATCGTTCCGGCGAAGATCTTATTGAAGAAATTTCTATCTATTTCAGCGAATGTCTGTTCCCTCATTTTAGTGTAAGGTAAGTTGTAGCCTTGCTTCGATCCAGTACAATTTCAAGTGTTGTAAAAGCGAGCGCGTGCATCAAATAAATAAATAACTATGCATTGATGAAATCCCTGTTTCCTATCCAGCTCCCAGTAGAGGTACCAGTCCCAGACTCAAAAACAGATCAACATCGCTTTGCGACAACGAAAATCAGGTCGAGGTATTGAAAT